ACACACACACACGTGTCAGGTGCTTCACACACACACACACACACGTGTCAGGTGCTTCATACACACACACACACGTGTCAGGTGCTTCACACACACACACACACGTGTCAGGTGCTTCATACACACACGTGTGTCAGGTGCTTCATACACACACGTGTGTCAGGTGCTTCATACACACACGTGTCAGGTGCTTCATACACACACGTGTCAGGTGCTTCATACACACACGTGTGTCAGGTGCTACACACACACACACACACACACACACACACACACGTGTCAGGTGCTTCACACACACACACACACACACACACACACACACACACACACACACGTGTCAGGTGCTTCACACACACACACACACACACACACGTGTCAGGTGCTTCACACACACACACACACGTGTCAGGTGCTTCATACACACACACACACGTGTCAGGTGCTTCACACACACACACACACGTGTCAGGTGCTTCATACACACACGTGTGTCAGGTGCTTCATACACACACGTGTGTCAGGTGCTTCATACACACACGTGTGTCAGGTGCTTCATACACACACGTGTGTCAGGTGCTTCATACACACACGTGTCAGGTGCTTCATACACACACGTGTCAGGTGCTTCATACACACACGTGTGTCAGGTGCTACACACACACACACACACACACACACACCAACGTGTCAGGTGCTTCACACACACACACACACACACACACACACACACACACACACACGTGTCAGGTGCTTCACACACACACACACACACACACACACACGTGTCAGGTGCTTCACACACACACACACACACACGTGTCAGGTGCTTATTACACACACACACACGTGTCAGGTGCTTCACACACACACACACACGTGTCAGGTGCTTCATACACACACGTGTGTCAGGTGCTTCATACACACACGTGTGTCAGGTGCTTCAAAACACACACGTGTGTCAGGTGCTTCATACACACACGTGTCAGGTGCTTCATACACACACGTGTCAGGTGCTTCATACACACACGTGTGTCAGGTGCTACACACACACACACACACACACACACACACGTGTCAGGTGCTTCACACACACACACACACACACACAAAACACACACACACACACACACACACACGTGTCAGGTGCTTCACACACACACACACACACACACACACGTGTCAGGTGCTTCACACACACACACACACACACACACGTGTCAGGTGCTTCACACACACACACACACACACACACACGTGTCAGGTGCTTCACACACACACACACACCACACACACACACACACACACACACACACGTGTCAGGTGCTTCACACACACACGTGTCAGGTGCTTCACACACACACGTGTCAGGTGCTTCACACACACACGTGTCAGGTGCTTCACACACACACACGTGTCAGGTGCTTCACACACACACGTGTCAGGTGCTTCACACACACACACATACACACACACACACACACACACACACACACGTGTCAGGTGCTTCACACACACACACGTGCCAGGTGCTTCACACACACACACACACGTGTCAGGTGCTTCACACACACACACACACACACACACACACGTGTCAGGCGCTTCACACACACACAATGTGTCAGGTGCTTCACACACACACACACACACACAACACACACACGTGTGAGGTGCTTCACACACACACACACGTGTCAGGTGCTTCACACACACACACACACACAAACACACACACACACGTGTGAGGTGCTTCACACACACACACACACAGTGTCAGGTGCTTCACACACACACACACACACACACACACACACACACCACACACACATGTCAGGTGCTTCACACACACACACACGTGTCAGGTGCTTCACACACACACACACACACACACACACACACACGTGCCAGGTGCTTCACACACACACACGTGTCAGGTGCTTCACACACACACGTGTCAGGTGCTTCACACACACACACACACACACACACACACACACACACACACACACACACGTGTCAGGTGCTTCACACACACACACACACACGTGTCAGGTGCTTCACACACACACACCCACACACACGTGTCAGGTGCTTCACACACACACACCCACACACACGTGTCAGGTGCTTCACACACACACACACAAAGTGTCAGGTGCTTCACACACACGTGTCAGGTGCTTCACACACACACGTGTCAGGTGCTTCATACACACACGTGTCAGGTGCTTCACACACACGTGTCAGGTGCTTCATACACACGTGTCAGGTGCTTCACACACACACGTGTCAGGTGCTTCACACACACACACACACACACGTGCCAGGTGCTTCACACACACACACACACACACACACACACACACACACACACACACACACGTGTCAGGTGCTTCACACACGTGTCAGGTGCTTCATACACACACACGTGTCAGGTGCTTCACACACACGTGTCAGGTGCTTCACACACACACGTGTCAGGTGCTTCACACACACACGTGTCAGGTGCTTCATACACACACGTGTCAGGTGCTTCACACACACGTGTCAGGTGCTTCATACACACGTGTCAGGTGCTTCACACACACACGTGTCAGGTGCTTCACACACACACACACACACACACACACACACGTGCCAGGTGCTTCACACACACACACACACACACACACCACACACACACACACACACACACACACACACACACACGTGTCAGGTGCTTCACACACACGTGTCAGGTGCTTCATACACGCACAACGTGTCAGGTGCTTCACACACGCACACGTGTCAGGTGCTTCACACACACACACACACACACACACACACACAACGTGTCAGGTGCTTCACACACATACACGTGTCAGGTGCGTCACACACACACACACACACACACACACACACACGTGTCAGGTGCTTCACACACACACACACACACACACACACACACACGTGTCAGGTGCTTCACACACACACACACACACACACACACACACACACACACACGTGTCAGGTGCTTCACACACACACACACACGTGTCAGGTGCTTCACACACACACACACACACACACACACACACACGTGTCAGGTGCTTCACACACACACACGTGTCAGGTGCTTCACACACACACACATGTGTCAGGTGCTTCACACACACACACACACACACACACACGTGTCAGGTGCTTCACACACACACACGTGTCAGGTGCTTCATACACACACACACACACGTGTCAGGTGCTTCACACACACACGTGTCAGGTGCTTCACACACACACACCCACACACACGTGTCAGGTGCTTCACACACACACACACACACACACGTGTCAGGTGCTTCACACACACACACACACACACACACACACACACACACACACACACACACACGTGTCAGGTGCTTCACACACACACGTGTCAGGTGCTTCACACACACACACTCACACACACACACACACACGTGTCAGGTGCTTCACACACACACACACACACACACACACACACGTGTCACGTGCTTCACACACACACACACGTGTCAGGTGCTTCACACACACACACACAAACACACACACACACACACACACACACACACACGTGTCAGGTGCTTCACACACACACACACACACACACACACGTGTCAGGTGCTTCACACACACGTGTCACGTGCTTCACACACACACACACACACACACACACGTGTCAGGTGCTTCACACACACGTGTCACGTGCTTCACACACACAACACACACCACACACACACTGTCAGGTGCTTCACACGTGTCACGTGCTTCACACACACACACACACACACACACACACACACACCCACGTGTCAGGTGCTTTACACACACACACACACACACACACACACACACACGTGTCAGGTGCTTCACACACACGTGTCACATGCTTCACACACACACACACACACACACACACACACACGTGTCAGGTGCTTCACACACACACACATGTCAGGTGCTTCACACACACACACGTGTCAGGTGCTTCACACACACACACACGTGTCAGGTGCTTCACACACACACACATGTGTCAGGTGCTTCACACACACACACGTGTCAGGTGCTTCACACACACACACGTGTCAGGTGCTTCACACACACACACACATGTGTCAGGTGCTTCACACACACACACATGTGTCAGGTGCTTCACACACACACACACGTGTCAGGTGCTTCACACACACACACACATGTGTCAGGTGCTTCACACACACACATGTGTCAGGTGCTTCACACACACACACGTGTCAGGTGCTTCACACACACGTGTCACATGCTTCACACACACACACACACACACACACACACACACACACACACACACACACGTGTCAGGTGCTTCACACACACATGTGTCAGGTGCTTCACACACACATGTGTCAGGTGCTTCACACACACACACATGTGTCAGGTGCTTCACACACACACACGTGTCAGGTGCTTCACACACACACACGTGTCAGGTGCTTCACACACACACACACACGTGTCAGGTGCTTCACACACACACACGTGTCAGGTGCTTCACACACACACACATGTGTCAGGTGCTTCACACACACACACATGTGTCAGGTGCTTCACACACACACACGTGTCAGGTGCTTCACACACACGTGTCACATGCTTCACACACACACACACACACACACACACACACACACACACACACACACATACATACACACACACACACACACACATGTGTCAGGTGCTTCACACACACACACGTGTCAGGTGCTTCACACACACGTGTCACATGCTTCACACACACACACACACACACACACACACACACACACACACATGTGTCAGGTGCTTCACACACACACACATGTGTGTCAGGTGCTTCAAACTAACCAAATGAAGAAAAAGTTCATTACAATTTGCAACAATTCAGTCTAAGTGATGTTCAGAAGAAACTTAAAACTTGAAGCCCATCGTGTTATTATGTAGGCTGGATAACTTACCACTCTCTGCTCGATCCATTCATCGTGGTTGTAAGGTATGCAGCCGTCTAGGTCCTCCGTCAGCTGGTTCTTGTCGATGTAATCATGCAGGTCGCCAACACAATTGCATACGACGACCTGAAAAAAATGATTGAACTCACAGACAAGTAGTAAATACACATAAGTTTGTACAACTAGGCGATAGGGTACCCAGTTTAAGGTTAATTTAGCATTTTTATTATGTACCTCATACCCATACTGTGGGCGGTAGTTAAAGGGTTACAGAGGTACATAATTGGGTCTAGGGATTGGACAGCAAAGTTTTGATAACTGAATAAGTTACAATGGTAATAAAAGGCAGGAAATCTAGTAAATATATAGCCAGTCCTCTCTAACAAAGACGTCATTTCATTGTTGCAAAGACAGTGATGGAGGCACAGCGGGAATCAGAGTTCACAGTTATTAACGAAAATCAATCCCTGAGAAAATAATTATAAAGTCTTCGTGAGTACCTCAGCACCACAAGCCTACTTTTCCAACTTCAAACGCTAGTTTACAGTCTCTGTTTAAATGTCCTAATAACAGCTAACAAGCCTGGAATGTCTTTCTTGGTTGAAAACGGCGTACTGAAGACTTCAGTGAACACAGGCAAAATGCAGAGAAAGCTTTTTATTTATGGTGAAATGTTTAGCTCAGTTTGAACGTTTATCAGATCTTGTTACGCTCTAAGATTCACGTTTCAATGAGTAGACACTTTTCAACGCTTACCTAAAACGAGCACTTAGAGAAACCCTGTGACGACGTTTGGGTCCGTTGTGCACCACTGTCAAGCACAACTTAATCATGGTCCTATACGGAGCGAAACGTCATCGTAAGATTCCAGTTCCAGTCGCGGGCTATTGGTGAATTGTTCCTACCACGGTATTGTGACCTTCAATACTTCAAACCCTATGTAACCATCTACATCCTCAACGTGCTGCTAGCAAAGTGAACCAACTAGCGATCCGTCTTACCCTGAACTTGAATTCGTCTCTGAAGATCTTGTTGGAGACTTCCGAGATTGCTTTCTGGAAGAATCCAGCCGGTCTCAGTACATAAGCGACCGTGATGAGCCCGGGGAAGAAACCCTGTAAAGGGAACATATCAAACTTAGTAAACACGAATAAGTTGGACTCATCGCATCGTATGTTAAGCGTTCAGGATACGGTTGAATTGGATCTAGGAAGTGTCAGGATTATGACTCTCCACGACACTGAGATGGACCAGGACTGTCCACGACACTGTGAGATGGACCAGGACTGTCCACGACACTGTGAGATGGACCAGGACTGTCAACGACACTGAGATGAACCAGGACTGTCAACGACAGAGATGGACCAGGACTGTCCACGACACTGAGATGGACCAGGACTGTCCACGACACTGTGAGATGGACCAGGACTGTCAACGACACTGAGATGAACCAGGACTGTCCACGACACTGAGATGGACCAGGACTGTCCACGATACTGAAATGGACCACAACTCTGTGAGATGAGCAGTTGTGGACCTGACGCTCCCCAGATCCAATTCAACCATTCCGTAAACAGGTTAAATTGTAGGTTAGGTTAGTTTTCTAGGTTGTTCTACTAACTGGCCGAGGGTAATAGAGGCTGTCATCTACCCATAAACTAACATTCAAGAATACTTCAAACTCATAATGGTTAAAGTAAACTAATTATATTTACCGAGAGATATGTCTTGTTTACACACAATATACTTCCTAATCTACAGATTATAAATTCCCCAAACATATTTGCAAAAAAAAAAAAAAGCATATTACTTGTCAAACTACCTCGTATTTAACTTTTTGAAATTAAAATTATAATATTTATATTTATGAGAGAGCGATAAACCTTAGGGCTTATCGCAATAAGGCTTAATCAGAGAAAGAGGAAGGCAGCGCTAATTCCTTGAATCAAGAGCCCTTCACCAGCACAGAAGGCACTCTAGAAGAGTTAAAATTCCAAAGAAATCTCAAATTTACTGTGACAGTTTTTGCACATTACACTTGAAAAGCCAGAGAGATTTTTCAATTAAATGAAAACTTTTGAAGCAACTTGACACAAAACTTCCATTAGTCATTAAATATGAAGGCGGCACTCTGTGCTAACTCACTTACCACTACCACACTAACTCTTCATATTTTCGTCAGAAGATTATAGTCAACTTTTCTCTTTCTCTCACCACTACTCTTCTTCATTTTTCACTTTTTTTTCCTTTCGTTTCCCTATCCTACCTTCTCCTGTCTGGTTTGTCTCTGCCTATACATTTGCTTAGCTTTAAATCTCAATCTCAATCTCTCTCTCTCTCTCTCTCTCTCTCTCTCTCTCTCTCTCTCTCTCTCTCTCTCACTCACCGAAATCTTGAGCAGGACGGTCTTGACCGAGTTCCACTTATCATTCCGTCTGTCGATAACCAAGACAAAGCCCATGTCGGCGTCCTGGAGTCTGAGGGAAGGAAGACACACATACATTAGTACACCTGAGCGTCATTATCAATGACCGGGAAGTCTGGTCAAGGACTGGGCCGCGGGGGCGTTGACCCCTCCGAATACCCTGCAGGTAGATCAGTACCGCAAGCGAGTTCTTCATCAACCTGACTATCATCTAATACTGTCTGACACAGCAGCACCTTGGTACGGTGGGTATCTACTACCTGCCTATTTCTAACTTTTGTTTCACCTTACGGGCATGACTTGCTTCCACTAATGGGCCCCGCCCACTGGTGATATGTCTTCACCTGCTGTACCTCACCTTCTATTGGCTCTTAGTATGAGTCACTCTCCTGAGAAACTGTTTACGGATTAGATTAGATTTTAGATTTTGTCACCGAAGTGGCTAGTTTATTGTACACCCCATATCCATCCTGTGGACGGTAGCGCAAGAGCATATGGATACACAAAAGACCTAGGAACTAGTCCCCAAAAGGATTAACAGGTGTACATATGGATTTATATCTACATATCTATAGTTCAGTTATCTGTTACAAGTAAATTTAGGAAATTTGCTTGGTATATCTGGTATCTTATTTTCATTAATAAGATATCTTGACATGTCACATAGGTTATTATATTGTCTATCTCTGTATTCCTCAATAAATGGACAATTAAGCACATAGTGTTCAAGACAGTGACCATATACCTGACCACATAATTTACATTTAGTTTGATCATCTGTGTGTCTCCCAAACTGCCAGAAGTACTTGTAACCAAGCCTAAGCCTGGCCACTACAACATCAGTCAGTCTGTTCACATTGCACGTTGCTCCATAAACATACTTATCTATGTTCATGTTATCATAGTGGGTTATAGATCTACTCAGGCTTCTAACTGCATTCCTATAACAATCATTTTCATTATTTACTTCTCTCCTAATATTATTCCTAACCCTAGACACAGATATACCAAAGTTATATTCTACATTCTCCTTCTGGCTACTCTTCTTGGCTAACATATCAACTTTATCATGAAGGAGTAATCCAATGTGTGATGAGATCCAGAGCAATTGTACATTAATTCCTTTGTCCCTGATTTTTGAGTATCTATACCTGGCTTCTTCAACGAGCATGTTGTTGGAATCATTATATGAGTTAAGAGCCTTCAGTGATGACATAGAATCAGTCATGATGATAGAGTCAAGCTCAGTGTCATAAGTTAGCTTTAGCGCCATTAGGATTGCAAACAGTTCAGTTTGCAATGTAGACGCCCAGTTGTTAATTCTTATGCCTAGTTCAACAAGGTGGTGGACCTACATTTTTGTGGTCCTGGAGCTTGAGCTGTTATGGTGTCACCTTCACACCCAGCAACGGCTAGGCCTACAACAAGTAGGTCTATATCATACTTCAATAAGCTTTTAATTTTCATTTTAACTATTATTTTGTACTGAATTACACTATATTATTATTTAAAAAAAAAAAACTCTCAATGTGGTCTAAAGTCGTTTCCGGGGCCCCTCAAGGATTAGGGACCCCTGAAGCTTAAGCTTCATTAGTTTCACAGTAGATCCGCCCCTGATACGGATATCTTCTACAGCTCCACTGCCACAACAAATGCCAAAACATTACCATATACCCCCCCCCCCAAAAAAAAAAAAGGTCCTAGTTTGGGACTTTTACAACAAGGCAAAAATGCGGGATAATTTTTCCCTCGGTACCCATGTGTTTTACTTGTAATTGTGTTTTTTTTTCCACCGTTACACACAATATATAACTTCAAACACTTTTTTCTGCTTATAAAATACATGAACACTAATGTCAAAACACTGAGGAAAAAACATTAACATCATTACTGTCAGAATTTGTAAGAGAATTTGTACAATTTCCTCCCGGAAAGTATTTAAATATTTTAATTAAAGTTGATATTTTTTTACTAATAAATACTTTGAACTACTTCCAGGTCGATAAGAGCGAATTTGCTTTATGCTCCCACAACAGTGCACTCCCTGTAAATTTTCACCGTACGTAGCAATAACGACGTAAGAGCTGTGTTTCATCACACGTAACAATAACAGAGATAAAGGTGTGTGTCAAGGTGATTCTCTGTGTCGCTGGTGATGCACAGCATCAGTTGCACGCCGTCGACGTGATCGCACAGCATCAGTTGCATGCCGTCGACGTGGTCACACAGCATCAGTTGCACGCTGTCGCCGTGGTCACACAGCATCAGTTGCACGCCGTCGCCGTGGTCACACAGCATCAGTTGCACGCCGTCGCCGTGGTCACACAGCATCAGTTGCACGCCGTCGCCGTGGTCACACAGCATCAGTTGCACGCCGCCGCCGTGGTCACACAGCATCAGTTGCACGCCGTCGCCGTGGTCACACAGCATCAGTTGCACGCCGCCGCCGTGGTCACACAGCATCAGTTGCACGCCGTCGCCGTGGTCACACAGCATCAGTTGCACGCCGCCGCCGTGTCACACAGCATCAGTTGCAAGCCGTCGCCGTGGTCACACAGCATCAGTTGCACGCCGCCGCCGTGGTCACACAGCATCAGTTGCAAGCCGTCGCCGTGGTCACACAGCATCAGTTGCACGCCGCCGCCGTGGTCACACAGCATCAGTTGCACGCCGCCGCCGTGGTCACACAGCATCAGTTGCACGCCGTCGCCGTGGTCGCACAGCATCAGTTGCACGCCGCCGCCGTGGTCACACAGCATCAGTTGCACGCCGCCGCCGTGGTCACACAGCATCAGTTGCACGCCGTCGCCGTGGTCACACAGCCTCTCAACACACGGTAATTCCTCTAAAAGCTTACCTAGCACCGGCTTTATCGAATTCCAGAGGAGGAGGAGGAGGAGAAGAGGCAAGCGGATTAGGAGGTGGAGAAACGAAATAACATCAGAAGAGATAGGAGATGGGAGAAGAAGTAATGGATGAAGAGGAGGAGAAAAGGAGACAATGAGAAACAGTTGAAAATACAAGACCACACTTGAGATACTGCTTGGCAGAATTTCATGTGTGACAACGCAAACAGTAGTGTTTATGGCCCCTAAGGAGATCTTACAATCCTTGGGGAATCAAGTAGTCAGGTTTGATCAGAAGAAAAGATGATAGGTTCCAGTTCCTTGAAACAACAGCTCTTAACCAGAGTGATTATCAAATGGTATACAATACCTGTCGGTATTGTATACCTGTTTCGCCTACACAGTAGGCTTCTTCAGTCGAGTACAGAAAGTAGGCGGGAGCAGTAGAGATGTGAAGACGATGTAATCAGTCCATCACCCTTGAAGTCGTAGATTTGAGGTTGTCAGTCCCTCAGTCGCTTGATCTTCAGTTAGTTCCAGACTTTGGAGCAGAACTTCTCCAGGCTGAGGGACTGACATCCTCAAATCTACGACTTCAAGGGTGATGGACTGATTACATCGTCTTCACATCTCTACTGCTCCCGCCTACTTTCTGTACTCGACTGAAGAAGCCTACTGTGTAGGCGAAACGTTTCGAAATAAAGTTGCCTAAATGTTGCCTATGTGTCTTATCTACCAGCTCTTAACCAGCATCAAGTGTTTAGCACGGGCCTGTCTTGAAGGAGGTTTTCTATTTCTAGATACCACTGTATATGGTATTTTGAAATGATAGGGGGATGGGGTTAAGATATAAGGGAGACACCTTTCTCTGATCGCCCAATCTAATTTTATATTTACGAAACTTTGATCTGTCAAGTCTGGCAAACTTTACAACGATGCAAATGTTTACTGTAGCATTTCAGATATTTTCTTTGTTACACTGAAATAATACACGACAAGAAAACATAGGAAGATAAAGATGGAACGAAGCTTTCAGAAGCAAATCTAAAACTAAGAATATAAGGGTAAGAAAATAAACATATTCATTTTCTAAACCAAGTCGACGCAAGTCCAGCGTAAAGTCCACAGTCCAGTAAGTCCAGGTTCTCCTTGCAGTTTTTTTTTTTTTTTTTTTTTTTTTTTTTTTTTTTTAGAATTCGGGTTTCAGTTTAAATATTATTCACACAGTGTCACTCTCATCACTTAGCTGCTACAGTTATGGGACGCTGACACACTTTGCAAATCTTAATTATTGAAAAATAGGTTACATTAATTCACTCAAGCCCCGCTCTTAAGAGAGGCATCTCACGACGACATTTGGGTCCGTCATGGACCATTGTCATGTTAAAATGGTCCAAGACTTGAGAGTTGTGACTTTCGGTCCAGGATGGGCCTAAACGTTGTCATAAGGTTCCTCTCGACTGGTGTTTTGGTGAATTTTTCCAACATTGTGACTTTATTCTTAATTCATGAAAGATATTGAAGCATAATACACGCACGCACGCACACACACACACACACACACACACACACACACACACACACACACACACTAACCAGTGTAACTTACTGCCCTACATACTATCCATGACCTCGATTGTCACTTGAAAATTTACATTATTATTGTATTTTTACGAAAATTATTCACTAGTACAAGTGAAAACGAACGAGCTAAAATACGGGCGTAGTCCAGGTGCTTGTGACAGGCAAAATGTATAGCCAATGAAAATTGTTACCTAGTCTATAGTAGTAACGCAGTTGGCTGTCCCGCAGCTTGGTTACTAGCACACTCAGCTCACACATTCAGGTCCGCGGTACGATCCTACATACGGGTGGGAACATTAGGACGTGTTTCCTTAAGACACCTGCTGTCCCTGTTCATCTAGCAGTAAGTACCTGAGTGTTAGTCGACTGTTGTGGGTCGCATCCCAAGAGGAAAAAATTAAACTATGTTGCCCGAAATGCTCTGCATAACCAGGGGCTTTCTATATATTATGTCACTGATGTCAGCAAGATCTGAATAAGTTGTATCAAGTACTTTTAGAAATAGAGATTATTTTTATTAATAGGTACCGAAATATATGTAATTATGAGATGGCAGATTGTTGTTACCACCATATTCGTTTTTTTTTTTTTTCATTAGGGACAAATTTCTCACGTAAACAAA